GGAGCAGCTACAGCACAAAGCTGGCTGGACTGGCTGTTCAGCGGTTCATGGCTGGCTGCTGTAGCAAAGCCATTTTTCCTTCTAGGTCTCATCATGACACCACTGCTCATATTAGTGTTGTGTGTGTTGCCATGCCTAAGAGTAATGATTTCAAAGATGATAACAACCACAATGACTGCTTATGTTGCCGTGCCACAAGAAGAACAACATCCCGTTGCAATTCTGTTAGAGGAGAACTTGTACTAGCTGCTAATAAATGACGTGGTGATTAAAAATGACTTGTCAAGTGATCATGCACTGATTAACACATTAGTAGTTTGTGCAGGTACAATATAAGGTTTTCACCCTTTTATTTTTTGAAGTTTTCATTTTAAATATGAAGTTTTCATTATTTTACATATAAAGTTTTCAATTTAAGGTTTGCATCATTTTAAGTATAAGGTTTTCATCCTTGTATTTTTTGACGTTTTCATCTTACATATTAGGTTTTCCTCATTTTTAAATACAAAGTTTTCATTTTAGTTTTCATCCTTTTATTTTTTGTAGTTTTAGTTTTATTATTTTTTCTTGTTTATTCCACTTGTTATTTCATTTACTATGATTTTCATTTACTATGTTTTTCTTTTTATTATTTTATTTTGTTTTATTCTTTAGACCAAATGACTTCCATTTCTGCTATGCTGACATTTTGAAAATTAAAAAAATTACTTAAGATACTTAATAAATAACCTTCACAGACAATTGTTGTATACATTTAAAATAAGTTAAAACAGGAGGGAATGTTACAGGAAAAATGATTCTATGTTTCTTTACCTTCTTTTAAATGTACAAAGATGCCCTTTGTCTTCCCTTTGTCTATGGTTAGATTAGTTTAGAATTATCCTTTTAGACTTTCTCAGCAAAGACATACTGTTTTGGGACATATTGTTTTAGATTGTTTTATCTCTCACAGCTTTCTCCCAACTCTCTGCTGACGAGACTAGCGCCACATATGGAGTTGTTTATTTTATCTGTTTTGTATTTTCTTATCCTGTTCTCACTGTCTTTCCTATAAAAAGTGCCCAGCCTCTGTACACGGTGTGAGTTGTTCTGAACAGCTTACCCGTGTGCACGTTAAAGCATAAAAAGTGATCTTGTCTCATTGTGTCTTTATTTCTCCTGGGTCTTTTACAGAGTTTTCCCCCAACAACCGGCTACATAGGGGATGACAATGTTGTTGCGTCTGTCCTTCTTATCCTCCCTCGCTGGTGTCTGGTCTTCTTTTCTGTGCCTCTTTGCTGACTTTAAGAACGCCCATTTAGGATAGCCACACGTTTTGAGTGCTTCCTTTACATGTGTGTGTTCCTTCTTTTTTCCTTCGGGCTTAGAGGGAACATGTTCTGCCCGGTGGTGTAGGGTCCTAATTACTCCAAGTTTGTGCTCCAGAGGGTGATGGGAGTCAAAAAGGAGGTACTGGTCCGTGTGTGTGGGCTTCCGGTAAACTTCGATGTTGAGTTTGCCGTTCTCTTCAATGTGCACAGCGCAGTCCAGGAAAGGCAAACAGTTGTCCTTTGTGTCTTCCCTGGTGAACTTGATATTTTTATCCATAGCGTTAATGTGCGCAGTGAAGGATTCCACTTCTTGTGTCTTGATTTTGACCCAGGTGTCGTCCACATATCTGTACCAGTGGCTGGGTACTCTTCCTTTGAAAGAGCCAAGAGCCTTCCTTTCCACTTCCTCCATGTAAAGGTTGGCTACAATAGGTTACACGGGGGAGCCCATGGCACAGCCATGTTTTTGTCTGTAAAAGCCTTCGTTGTACTTGAAATATGTAGTGGTGAGGCAGAGGTCTAACAGTGTGCAGATCTGATCGGGTGTGAAGTTGGTCCTGTCCTCCAAGGAGCTGTCTTCTTGTAGTCGTTTTCTGACAGTCTCCACGGCCTCCGTGGTGGGTATGCAAGTGAAGAGAGAGACTACATCAAAGGACATCAAACTCCCATGCACACTTTATCCTTGAGAGGGTAAAGAGCTGATCCCGTGTTCCACGACCAGGACGAAAACCGCTTTGTTCCTCCTGTATCCGAGGTTCAACTAACGGACAGACTCTCCTTTCCAGCACCCTGGCATAGACTTTCCCAGGGAGGCTGAGGAGTGTGATTCCCCTGCAGTTGGAACACACCCTCCGCCCCCCCGCCCCCCGGCAAAGTAGATGTATGCCATACTTCGCGGAAAATGACCAGGCTGGCCTAGAACTCTTTACAAGAGAAAAGGACCCAAAAGGACCCATTTTTCACAATAAAGTTATTGCACTCAAAGCTACCGTGTATTTTTCTGTATTTTGTCATATCGTGAAATTTAGTGCTATCGTGAGAATACACTGATAATATTTAATCACTCATCATAATATTGTGATATTATGTGTGGGCAATATCACCCATCCTAGTTTTATTACTATTTTCTGCAATTGTCTTCAAATGTTATATTTTCCTAACTCGTCTATTAATGACAGTACAGGGTAGGGTGAAAACAGGTCCATTGTTGTTGATATCATGATGTTATAATTAGAGATGGACTGATCCGATATTACGTATCGGTATCGGTCCAATACTGACTCAAATTACTGGATCGGATATCGGCGAGAAATAAAAAATGTAATCGATCCATTAAATATCAAAAAAGCACCTCACAAAACTTGCTACATGGCGTAACTCGGCTCATAACCGTAGCACGTCGCAGCAGTATGCATCACGTGATAGAGCGGTTGTGTGTATTTGTAGCCTCACCAGCATTTCATCTCCGAGGAAGTTATCCCAGAGAGAAGTAAAGCAAGTGTGTAAGTTCATCTCTGAATGTTTGTAAAGCATTCCAGTGTTAAGCTTAACAGATATATGGAGCGACTGCCTCTCTCTCTCCTGATGCTACTTCAATCGTGAAACTGCTATTAAGCAGTTTCACGATTGAAGTAGCATCAAAGAAGACAGACGGAATCGCGACACAAAAGCCGATCAGCTGATCATTAGATCAGCTGATCGGCTTTTTGTGTCGCGATTCCGTCTGTCTTCTTTGTTTTTGGCCCACTTTGCACCAGAAAGAGGAAACCAGCGGCTGAACAACAGCAGCACTTTTAAGCTTGATAAGCTGTTGTTAGAATTTATTTAATATTACTTTCTACACCAGGATCTTTTTCTACAGCTGATGGCTGGTAACTATGCAGGGGCAGATCTAGCAAAGTTTAGCCAGGTGGGCGATAGGGCATGAACAGGGAAAAGGGGGCACAAAGACATAATTTTCTTTCTTATTCTCATTTAAAATTTCTAGCTTTTAATAAATAATTATCTGACTCTTACACCCAAAGTTTTAATCTGATGTAAAATATATAGAAGTCCATTACTGTATATAGTAACTGTTAAGTCTAATATACCCTAGTAAGCTATAGTACTTTTTCCTTTGGGAAAGTACCATCTGTGAATTTTGCAATTCTGTTGAAGAAAGACGTTGAATCTATTTAATTATTCTTGAAAAAATAATTTATTTCTATGCATTTTTCCCCCTGCATCAAATTAAATTTGATTACATCGATTAAGCATCATGAGGTGGAGGGTGGGGGGTGGTTCCCTATTTTTTTTTGCTGGGAACTTGCAACCCTATTAGTTAGGTTGCTTAATATTTCTGCTAAGTACTCTTTAAAATACCAGAATAGGGAGGATGGAGTAGGTTTAAGTTTATTAGATTGATCAGTATTGCTGAACTATGAAATATTTTGGGCGCAGTGTATTTTTTACATACAGGTATAACAGAATAGCTTTAGTGTTGTTATTTATTTAAACTTGAGTATAAACATATACAAAATGCAGCAAGATATTAAAAAAACGTTTTATTGATTAAAAAAAACACACTATATCGGATTCATATCGGTATCGGCAGATATCCAAATTTATGATATCGGTATCGGACATAAAAAAGTGGTATCGTGCCATCTCTAGTTACAATGTACTCACACAGAGGCAGTTCATCAACAGTACTGTCATTGCTGCAGCAGAAAGAAGATGAAGAGGTCATTTTATGTGACAAATTGGTTTGGCCATAATGAACACCATGTTCGAACATAAGAGTGTCCATAAGTGCACATGGCACCAGGACGCTCTGGGCCGCAGGTCAATGATCGATTTTGTAATCGTATCACCAGACTCGAGTGTCTAGTCATATTCTGGATATGTAAAGAGAGGGGCTGAGCTGTCAACAGATCACCACCTGGTGGTGAGTTGAATCAGGTGGAGGGGGAGGACGATGGACAGAGATGGTGCGCCTAAACGTATAGTGAGGGTGTGCCCCGGTCTCCGAGATCTTTATCGTACACCTCCGGCAGAGCTTCAGCAGCATTCTGAGGGAGACTGCGGACATTGAGTCCGAATGGACCATGTTCCGCACCTCCATTGCCGAAGCTGCTGCACTGAGCTGCGGCTGAAAGGTGGTTGGTGGCTGTCGTGGTGGTAACCCCCAAACCAAATGTTGCCTGTTCTGACAGGGTCCTGCTGTTGTTGCCTCCCTATCTCTCTCTTTTTCCTTTGACCGTTTCTCTTTGTGTGTGTGTGTGTGTGTGTGTGTGTGTGTGTGTGTGTGTGTGTGTGTGTGAGAGAACTCTTGTTCTCGCCAGCTACACCTGCCAACAATCACCTGCTGCTGATGAGCCCATTATCTGTGCCCTATTTAACAGGGTGGCTGAACCTTATTTGATGCTGGATTGTTGTGTAGCATCAGTCAGTGAACCCCGGCTCGTACAACTCTGAAAAGTAAGAAGTTAATCATTTTGTTTTGTCTTCTGTTCAGGAAACTTTTGGAGTGGTGTTTATGTGCGTGTGCCGGCTGACCGGATCACACCCACAAAATGAGAAAATGTAACTCAAACCCCGTGCAAGGCAGTTTCAAAGAAACTGCAGAAAATGGCATTATTCACACTAACACCACTAACCCTTTCAACAGGTAGTGTAAATGCTAGCTAATTTCCAGATTTTCTCTCTCACCTGCCTTGCCATCATATATGAAGGTTGTCTCAACATTGAACTTGAGGCACTCTGCCAGCTTCCTGTGGATGCTCTCACCCGCCTTCAGCTCATCAGTGTCCGTATGCTTCCCTTCTTTTCCTGAAAGGCAGAGAAAAACAATTCAAAGCACTGAAAAAAAACCAAAAAACTTGGGGTCCACCATCCACGGAGAGTGCAGTCAGGGTGGGCTGGGTGGAGTTGAGCGTCAGGAGTGACTTGTGACAGAAAGATAGCAACAAGAGCAAAGGGGAAGGTTTGTTATTCACGGTGCTCTTGCATTTGGAGTTAGTTTTGTGGTCTAGTTCCTTTTCATGGCTTTTTCAGAAACATTCAAGGCTTTTCACAATACTGTAGCTTCATGAGAACACTCTGTGGGGCACCTGCTAAATGTTGAGTTGTGTTGAGTTCTGCTTTGTGTTTTCCATTTCAGAAGATTGTCCCCTTGGTCGATATGATCCTGTTGAACTCTCAGCTCTAAAGTTTCTGAAACTTTCATTATTATTAGGATTTGCTCATTTAAAAACAGTCAAATTCTTTCAGATGTTCCTTTTTTCAGTGAGAATTTCTTTCAGGGCACTGTCTGTGTTTCACTTGGTATGATGTGATGCTGAGTGCACAGTGGACACTTCTGCCTCCTGTTTGCATGAGTTTTCTGTTCAGTTTCTCACTGATGACTCTGTAAAGTTAGGGTGTTTCATTCTTACTGTAGATGAGCAACAGCCTTCCTGGAATTCCCTGAAAGACGCCGCTGTAGACAACGGTCAGACAGTCTGCACAGCCCTGGTAAACATCTGCTCGGCCCTGATCATTGTATGGAGACACCAACCCGCCAAACTCCATAACTCCTAATGGGAACACATTTAAAAAAATCATTAACATCTCACCACAATAATGACTAACAGTTGAGACCTCGTTGGAAGATTTTGTTTTCCTCTTTAAGTAGTTCCCTGTCACGGTCCGCTGTGACGGACCGAGTGGAGAATGCGTGTAATGGACCCAGGTGCGTACACGAGTGAGCAGACGGGAGTGAGCTTTAACAGAAGGCGAGCCTTTAATATGGCTGAAAACAAGGTGTACAAATACAGCAGGGATAACGTGGCTAAACAGAAACCTAAACTGGGAACAAACGATGGTGAGGCTATGGCTTGGAAGACAACAGACCAGGCATGGAAACACGGAGGATGGGAACACAGACGACGCAACACAGACTGTAAGAAACACAGAGACTAAATACACATGAGGGATGATCAGGGAAAGTGGCCACACATGGGAACGCAGCTGACACACATGAACTTAACGACAGGACAGGAGGAGTGAAACTGAATACACTGACAGTGAATGCAGGCCTTCAAAGTAAAACAGGAAACATGAGACATGAACCGGGGAGACGTAGTACAGGGGGAGGTGACAATACTGACAGCATGAACTTGACAGTACAAGACGCACAGACATAAACACACGAAGGGCAAGGGAGACGTAATGCAAGGGTGATATATACAAATGGCTGGACTACCTTAATGAACCTAAACAATCAATAAACATCAAAATAGACTAAACACAAAACACCGGGTCGCACGACCCAGGACCATGACAGTTCCCCATGACTGATGCTGTTAGGTTTTGTATTGTTGATTGTCATTTATGCTTAGAAACATTTACTCATATATGCTTAGAAGTATATAATCATTTGTAGATTGAAAGTATGTCTCATGAGGGGAGTGCGTTCACTCCTCTACAGAGTGTTCTGGCATAGATCACACCTCCTAGCTTGCTGATATATGGGTTACCAAACACACGTATATCTCTTTAAGTATAAGAGCCCTTTGTTCAGATAGATCTGCTAGACGCCTGGCACCAGCTAGCACCAGAGTCTTCACAGGGTCACATCTTGACCCTACACACACACACACACACACACAGGCAAGGTACTCTGTGTGTATGTAGACGTCATATGTTAATGAACCTATGCAGATTCATGTAACCTCAATAAAAGAACAGTGGTACGGGAGAACGGACGAGAGCAACTGGGGTCAAGCGAAGGAACGGCGCCTGTCCGGTTTTCTCTCCCGTGCACGAGAAACATGAAGAAGCTTGCCTACTTGTGTCTTGCTTTGCTGTGTAATTATATTGTCCTCAACGTTCCAGCAGATAGGTTCAAGCTACAAACCTATCAGATGCTAAAGACAGACAGGCGTCCCCCTAAAAAAAAGTTCTGTAGTTTAGTTTGGAGATCAGAAACTCCAATTTCTGCCTTTTTTAAGTACAAATTTTGTAATATACAAAAGGGAATTTTAAAAGAAAATTTTCCTGTGGTTGAGGTTTTACCAATATGTCAACATTCTGATCTCTAAAAACCTAACTGACAACTTTAATTACCTAACACTTGATAAATAAAAAGTGGAAGTTTAAAAAAAAATCCTTTTCACAAGGTTCTGGTCTAACTCTCTTGGCCACTGGTATGTTAGCTACCTTGTGGCCATACAGAGAACATTGCTGTGCTCTGTGGTGTTATCTCAGTAGGTCAGACATCATGGTAGCAGTGTTAGTGTTTGTTTTTTCTTTTTATTGCTGTGAATCATCAGAACAAACCTCTCACTTCCAACCAAAATCAAACAACATTAGGAAAGTTGTTTTTATACTTTGAAAAATCTTTTAATTACATTTCTCTGGCTGCTTTCACATCCAAATGTCTTAATAAAAGGTCTAGTCTGGGCCTGTTTTGGACTTACCAGGGCTGTCCAGAACCATGCTGTGGTTGGAAGTCTCGGGATCAGGAATGGACATGTTGACTTGAAACACAAGACATTTTCCAGAGCTGTAAACAAAATAAATAAAGTAAAAAAAACTTTTGCAGAAAGTAAGCAGGTACTGAACTGCTGTTTGTCCTCAGTTTGACAAACTTACACTATGTTTCTCTCGATGAACAGAAAGGTTTCATTGTTGAATGCCTCCTTCATCTCCATCAGGGAGCTGTTGGCATGCTTCACCAACCTCAGACCTGCTGGATAATCTGAGAATGCTTCCACCAGAACCCATCGTGACTCAAACACCTGTGAGGAGGAACTAGGGTAAACCCACAAGCATTTGTTTTCTGGATTTATTACAGTTTCCTAATATTACTTGAAATGTAGGTAAAGTAGAACCGTGTGGTAGCATCTGCCCTTAAACTGCATAGGAGATACAAATAATACTGCAAATACTTTTTAATGTAATGAATACCTTGAAGACATTTTAAAGAAAGGAAAAACATTTAACCTTCTTACGCTGTAATTGCCTTGACTGTATGCTTTTTTTCCAGAATGCATTGAATGTTCATAGTACTTAAAACTCTATTTTTAAATTAGCCTTAATTGAGCAGATTTTTGCACAGCAGACCGAAAAATTACCAAATATATTTTTGTAGCCTCCTTTCACTGTAAAGAGGTATCAGTCAACAAGTAGTGACTTGGCAGATGTTTCTGTGAGTTCCCACCTTGTGCAGTACCTCCTGTCGCAACTTCGGTGGGAGGTCACATTCCTTTGCGGCAGCTTCAGCACTGCAGCTCTGCAGAATCAGAGCCAGCAGAAAAACTCTGAACAAAAGCTGCATCCTGGATCAGGAGGGCCTGCTGTGTTTGTGAGATCTGGAGGGAAGAAGCTCTGAGGTAAACTCGGAGAGAGGCGTCTCATGAAGACTGCAGACTGAGCACAGCTGGTCCAAAGAGTCTGTTTGCTTTTTTATAGAAGATAAACTGAACTCTGAACTGCAGGATGCAGCAAACCACACACTGCTGTAAATATTATGTTCAGCACTTACACATGTATTGATTTGCGTTTGTTTTTTTTTTACTGATAGTACTGCTGTAAATATTACTATTATTACTTCATATTTTTACAAGCTCATTTATTTTATTTAGCAGCATGTTTCCCACTTAGCTGCATCACACCTACTCTGTCAGTGTTTGAACTGACCAGTTCAATTCAGTTTCATTTATACAAATCACAACAACAGCTCCTCAAGGTGCTAGGAGAGTGTCAATGGAAAACTGTACTGAGTAGTCAGTCTAAGCTTTTAGTGATATAAGTTTATTGATGATAGAATACTGCATGATGACCTTTTCCTTGTTTAGAACTGATTGTTCTTTTCATTGCTCAGAACTGATTGTTCTTTATGAAACGTGTTCTGATATTTGTATCTGAAGCTTTCCACAGCGATAGTAAGAAGCTGAACAAGCAGTTCTGACCTTGCACGCACACACACACACACACACACACACACACACACACCAAAGCACACAGACAGACACTGTGAGGTCTGTAGTGCAAAATTTGAATCTCAGAGCTTTGTATCTCTCTCTCTCTGTCTGTCTGTCTTTCTCTCTGTCACACACACACACACACACACACACACACACACACACACCAAAGCACACAGACAGACACTGTGAGGTCTGTAGTGCAAAATTTGAATCTCAGAGCTTTGTATCTCTCTCTCTCTCTGTCTGTCTTTCTCTCTGTCACACACACACACACACACACACACACACACACAAAGCACACAGACAGACACTGTGAGGTCTGTAGTGCAAAATTTGAATCTCAGAGCTTGGTGATTTGTCTCCCTCCAGTGGCCCACTGCAGGTATGATGAGGGTTAACGTATAGGTTAGGGGGTAATAGCCAGTAGTTGACGGAATAAAATGGAATAACTGGGAGAGTAAGTGTCGTAGAGGGATGAAAGTGGTATCTACAGGGGGGGCGGGGTTGGGGTCCTCTGGACACCCTGGTGAAGACCCCATGTCGATAGCACCAACGGTTCTGGACTTTGTGTAAATGGGTCAAAATTTGACGGAATAAAAAGGTCAAAGTGGCAGATAGGAGTGTTCGATCGGGCTGATTAGGATGAGTGTTTGGGCCCCTCCTCCAACATTTTTAAAGAAATAAAATAAAAAAATGAATTGGTTTTGAAAAAAACCTTTTAGTTATTAAAGAAAAAAGAAATCAAATTAAATTATAATAGGCCAAATGAATACGAATTTGTGTGCCTATGTGGCGACGTTTCGACCTGTGAAGGTCTTCTTCAGGCCTAGGCACACACAGAAAAAATGAAAAACAGGCTTGCTCTCAGAGGTCTGCTCTGTCCGATGGTTTGGAGTGGAATGAGCAGAGTGCCTTCCCCTTCTATTTATACCCTCCCACTTTTTTTCAGTTCGAATTTAGTTTTAGAAAGCCAAATTAGTGTTTTTACCTTTTAGGATTTGGGTAAAGAGCAGGCCCGGCTATGCCGGAACCTGAGTCCACGGGCCATCACTGGGACTGGTGTTGGCGCCCCCTGTTCAAAAAATTACCCTAAGCGGGTGTAGTGCACTGTGGTGGGCCATCGCGACGTTTCGGCTTAATTTAGCCTTCTTCAGGCTGGCCCACCCGCTCTTGTGTTCAGTTTTGCCACTCTGGGCCTTTTATACTCTTCTTTTTCATTTCTGTTTTTCTTAACTTTTTCTGTTTCTTAGTTTTTTTCTTGTTCTCAGTTTTTTCTGCTTTAGCTCTCCCTTTTTCTATCTTTTTCTGTTGTTCTTTGTTCTTTCTGTTTTTCTTTATTCTTTCTGTTCTTCTTTATTCTTTCTGTTGTTCTTTATTCTTTCTCTTTGTTTTTCTGTTGTTCTTTTCTTTATTCTTTCACATATTTCTTTAAATGGCACCCCCTACTCTTTAGACATCCCGTCCTATGTTCTGTATTTTTCTTTTATGGCACCCCCTTCCTGTAAATCCTTTCCTTTATGTACTCTGTCTTTTTTTCTGACCTTTCTTGTCTTTTTTTCTCTTAGTTTAGGTTTTTAGGGCTCCATTAGGGTTAGGGCTAGAAGGGGAGGGGGGAGGGGGGCAAAGGGTTAGGGTAGGGTTGAAGAAAAGAACCTGTCCCTCCCGAAGGAGGAACAGGGCGTGCACGGGCCATCAACCCCGATGGTCCGCAGCCTCACATCCCTCTACCTCCATAATTGTTCTTTTAATTTGAAAGGTAAGTATTTCTTTTTTTACAGGTTTTCAAAGGTAAGTATTTCTGTTTTTGTAGGTTCCCATTTTTCGTGTCCGTTACTTTGGCTTATTTCCAATAAAGTGTTTTCAATCCCAATTTGTTTTCTGTGTGGTTTTTAATTTAGTTTTGAGTTCTCTCTAATTTGAGTTTTTAAGGAAAATCAATAAAACATGAATTAAAACATGAAATAAAATCCCCCAAAAATAACAAACTAAAATAACAAACTAACGTAAAGTTGAAAAAATTAAATGAGTATGCCCTTGTCGCGACGTTTCGAAGGTGTTGCTTCTTCCTCAGGCGAGGGCATACTGAAGAGCTCTGTGTTTGAGGCTCCTATTTATACTCTCCCTCTGATCCCGCCTCCTTGGCTTTCTGTGGCTTTCTTATAATATCTTTTGTAGCTTATTGCTTTTTTCCAATTCTGCCAGACTTTTTGGCTCTCATTTTTCCCTTTTTCTTCCTTTCTTCTTTTCCAGTCTTTTCCTCTTTCCCCTTTGACTTTTCCCTTTTCATCATCCTTTTCTTTCCCTCTCCTGTCCTCTGCCCATTACCCTTCCTTTTGGTCTACATCTGTCCTCTTTCTCTTCCGAATTTTGGGCTACTACAATGCCGACTTGGCTTTAATACTACTCTCTCAACCCTGCTTGGGGAGGACTCAACCCGACTTGGGGAGTAAATTTAGAAAGGAGATGTGACGTTGGGTTAGGCTTCAGGTTTCAGCTGGGGTTAGGATTACTCGGGCTTCAGATCCAGTACTGGGGTAAGGTTTAAGATTTAATTTCCAAAAATGAAGTAGAAATGGGATTATTCAAAATTGTGAAGATTTTAGGGCCAGATTAGATCAGGGGGTATATACAATAGGGCCAAAGTCCAAATTTAGGTTGGGTAATTTGAGATAAGGGTGTGGGGAAAGACTAGGCCCGGCTATGCCGGAACCTAAGTGCACGGTCCATCACTGGGACTGGTATTGGTGCCCCCTGATCAAAAAATTACCCTAAGCGGGTGTAGTGCACTGGGGTTGGGCCATTCGCGACGTTTCGGCTTCTCTGAGCCTTCTTCAGGCTGGCCCACCCGCTTTTGTGTTCTGTTTCGCCACTCTGGGCCTTTTATACTTTTCTTTTTCCTTTTCGTTTTTCTTAACTTTTTCTGTTTCTCAGTTTTTTCTTTATTCTCAGTTTTTTCTGCTTTAGCTCTCCCTTTTTCAAACTTTTTCTATTGTTCTTTGTTCTTACTGTTTTTCTTTATCTTTCTCTTTGTATTTCTGTTATTCTTTATTCTTGTTCTTTATTCTTTCTGTTTTTCTTTATCTTTCTCTTTGTATTCTGTTGTTCTTTATTCTTTCTGTTCTTTATTATTTCTCTTAATTTCTCTTGTGTTCTTTCTTTTATTCTTTCTCATATTTCTTTAAATGGCACCCCCTTCTCTTTAGACATCCCGTCCGTGGTCTATATTTTTCTTTTATGGCACCCCCTTCCTGTAAATCCTTTCCTTTTGTACTTTGTCTTTTTTCTGACCTTTCTTGTCTTTTTTTCTCTCAGCTTAGGCTTTTAAAGTTCCCTTAGAGTTAGGGCTAGAGGGGGAGGGGGGAGGGGGGCAAAGGGGTTAGGAGAAGGTAAGGTGGGGGCCCGATTGGGTCCCAATGCACAGGCCATCCTTGCTCCCGGCTCAAGGAACCATGTCCTCGATTTGGTGCCCTGAAAAGGGATTGTTTTAGCATCCTGAGCATGAGGCCTCCAGATGGGGAGGGAGGGGAGGAGGGAGGGAGGGAGAGCGAGAGAAAAGGGTGAGGGAGAGGGAGAACGGGGAGGGAGGGGGGGGAAAAAGAGAGGAGGGTTTTGGGTCAAGGGTCAAACCAATATAGGGTCCAAGGTGGTTAGGGGGTTAGGGAAGGGGAATGAAACTCCTCCCTGCACGAGGAGGGCAGGAGTGGTGCACGGGCCATACCGTGACCCTTCCCGCGGCCCACCACGTTATCGCCACCCCGTCTTCCGTGTCCGTCACTCTCCAGGTCCAAATTCAGGTAAGTACCTTCCTTAATTAGGCTTCTCAGGTAAGTACCACATTTTAATTGTTTTATTAACCAAATTGTTCTAATTTTTCCTTTTTCTTTTAGGTTGTCAATTGTTTTTAATCGTTTTTACGGTATTTGTAATAAATTTTGTATTTGTAATAAATTTTGTATTTTCCCAATGAATTTTGTCTCCGTGTTGTTTTTATAAATTCCCAATCTTAGGTTTTAAATTAGTTTTTAGGCCGTTTAAGAAACATGAAAATGAATAAAATTTAAATAAACCTCCCCCAAAAATAACAAACTAAAATAACAAACTAAAACAACAAACAAAACATTTTTAGTGATGCATGGCTTGCGCTAGCTTTCGGCAGTGTTGTGCCTTCTTCAGGCTGTGCTCATGCATCAGAGGCCAAATTCAAATAAAGGAGACTTCTCTCTGCCCCTCCTTTTATAGGCTTTTTTGACTCCTCCCTACGGTGCTTTGTGTTTTTCCTTTTTGGGTTTTCTTTTTAGTTTTTTTACTCTACTTTCTTTGGCTTAACCCTATCCTTTTCCTTTCCTTTCTCCTTTCCTACCCTTGCTTTGCCTTCTGTTTCCTTTTGCTCCTAATTCCTGCTTCCTTTCCTTTGGTTTACATACCCTCCTTTCCTAATTTCCTACCTGGCCGT